GGCCATCTTGGAAGCTGGCTACCACACCCTCCGTACAGGAGCTAAACTGAGCTGGAGGCATTCTAAATGAAGCCGTGTGTTTGGGTAACATTTACAGTGTTGGCTTTTTATATATTTTTGAGAGCAGTTGAAAACTCTTTGAATAAGAGTCCTTGCACGCTGCCTTTTCCACACACATTCAGGACGGTATGTTTGTCCAAGAGATATGACCTCAATTTATGTTCTGTTAGTACAGGTAGTCCTTTGACTGAAGGTAGGCTTGTGGGGTCGCCATCAAAGAGCTGATTGTATGCGCCAGAGTGGAAGAGACGCACACGGCGGCTCTGGGGCTTTGGTCTGCCACTTCCTGGCCCAGGAGACACTGCTTGTTTCTTTCTCCCATCAGCGCTTTGGCTGTGCCTGCACACAGGGTGGAGATGTCTCGGAGAATTTATTGCCACTCCTTGAATAGTTTCCTTTGTCACTCACAAGGCCTGTCATTGTAGTGTGTAGGGCTGCTGGACCTGGTCTCCTCTGAAGCCACCATCCCTTCTGCCTGCTGCTGACCCCGATGGCATTTCATCAGCGGGGCTTGTCTAAAGTCCTTCCTGATTTATGAGCTTCTTGTGGACATTAATAGACACGTCTTGGCAGGCTCTCTGTCATAATACCCAGCTCTTGGACCTAAGTATTCACCCATACACCCATCCTAATAGCTGCTTCTCTCCTAGCCATAGAAATCCTGATTTCCACTGTCCCTGTTTTGGTAAGTGTTCAACTCTGGAACAAACTTAGCCCTGTCTTGGCTTCACTCTCACATGGCTCCACTCTAAGCTGAAATGATAAGCAGTACCTGTAGCCACTTGCATATCTTAATAAATGGTGTTGATTCCTAACATTTATTTTAAGCTTTTGTCATTTAAAAATTTATTAATACTTCTCTTCTCAAACCCTACCGCCCCTCCACCCCCCCCACACGTACACTTGGTAGGTGGGAGCATGGCATTAACACTTTATATCTATTTTAATGGCATTTATCTATTGGGGCTCATTTATGGTTATTTGAGAAGACCTGGATTCCTCTACAAACTTATAAATTGCTGATGCTGGAATTTGTGCTTGGTCCATCTTTTTGTCCCCTGTAACTTCTTAGGCCATGCATTGAATGTAGTACCTACTTAATAACTATTTGTTAAAATGATGGATTACGACAGTATCCTAGATGGAGTGGACTGTGACTCTGACCCATTGTTGGGTTGTTGCTGTGTTATTTGGAGATCTGGGAAATGTCCAGGATGCTTCTTGGTCTGGGCAGGAGGTCAGGGCTGTTGGAAAACTTGTACCTGGAGTCTGAGAAACTGACTTCATTGCTGGACCCCTTGGCATAGGCCCACTGTGTCTTTCACACTCTCTGCCTTAAATGTTCAGAAAGTGCTATAAACTCCTTAAGCAACCCTCTGCCTATATACCCCGGGAAGAAAGCTCTTAGGGTTATTCTGGCCTGAGGATGATGGAACGTCAGTCTGCACTGAGAACCCTCTTCCAGGCTGAGAGCTTTTGAAATAACCTTGCCTTAGGTGGGCTCAGACCTGGGTGGTACTAGAAAGGATTGCTCTGCAACACTGTTTTGTCTTCACAGTGGACTGTGAGGAAGCCTTCTCCCAGCTGTTTTGTTCCCCATAAATTGTAAGAATGACAGCAAAGCCATTCTGCTTGGATGTTCTCTTCAATCTAATCAATAAATCCACTGTTTGGACAAGGTGTGTCACAGAACCATCCTTGGGGATCTGGCCAGGGACAGGAAAGTATTGGGGAAAGCCTTAGTAAGGATGGACATTTAAAAATGTAAGTGGCAAGAAACCTGGTGAGCACAAAGGATTTTCTATAATTAAAAAAATAGGAAGTACATCTCTCTTCTCCCAAAGGTCTCCTTCTCCAACCTAAAACTGGTTGTTGACAGGGGCTCCATCTTGCTCTCCACGCCTTCCCTGTCCCCAGCCACCCCCAAAGACTAGCTAGTCTATGGGTGCCTTTTCTAAGTTTTAAAATAGTAGCACAATGCTGCTGTGATCACACAAAGCTATATTTTCACTGTCATCCCTAGCGTGTAATAGTGCTTGGTAATTACACGGTGCTTTCCATCTGCAAGTCGGTATACACGTTATAAATGTTAACTCTTTAATTCTCCCAACACCTGTGCAGAGGGAGGTTGAGGCTTAGCTGTAGTTTGATGTGGTAACATCTCGTCGAGGTGTTGGCTCCTGTCTGTGGTAGAGCTGGTAAAGTAGCATCTGTTCTTGAGGGTGATGTTCGGTGCTGCCCAGGGAGAAACCTGAAGTCTCCATAGAAGCAAGAATCCGAAGGATAAGTCTCCTGACTTCAGCGAACAGATGCTCCTGGCCTCTGTGGTTTAGCCGGTTGTTACTATTTCGATTACAGATTAGACTGCTAGAATCGTTAGAAAACATTTTGTCTGTTAAAAGATGCAGAGGCACAACTTTTTAAATTTTTTTTTTTTTTTGTGAGGATGATCGGCCCTGAGCTAACATCTGCCAATCCTTCTCTTTTTGCTGAGGAAGACTGGCCCTGGACTAACATCCATGCTCATCTTCCTCTACTTTGTATGGGACGCTGCCACAGCATGGCTTGACAAGCAGTGCGTCGGTGCGCACCCGGGATCCGAACTGGCAAACCCCCCACCACCGCAGCGGAGCGCACGCACTTAACTGCTTGCGCCACCAGGCCGGCCCCTTGTTTTGTTTTTAAATAAAGAAAAACAATAGAATTTTGTTTGTAACGTACATTATCTGATCTTTAAAAGGAGAAACTCATTACTGCTTCTTTGGCAATAATTTTTATGGCATTTTGTTATTTCTTTTAAAAAGTCATTTCTTCCTAAAATCTATTTTTTTCTCCTTTTACATCCCAAAGAATGGAATACCAAATAATTTTGAGATTTATACCAGTGGATTTCAAAAGCCAGACTAGACTTTAAAGCGACTTACGGAACAGAACAAAATAGTGTTGTACAGTTATAAATGTTTTTAGCCATAGCTTCAATACATTGCTTCAGTTAACCAACATGATTTCAATTTATTATGCAAATGTAACAATTATTCCATTAAAAAAATCTGTTAGAAAGATTGCATACTTTGTTTCCCCAGCACATTGAATTGTGTTGTGTTCCTTTTTTTTTTTGATTTGCTTATTTTGTCTTTAATGACAATCCACTTAAAGTAAAAGCCTTTAAAGTGGCAGAACAACGTGATAACATGTCTTCACTGGTAATTTAATACTTGGATATAATGAGTTCATCTGAGAGACTTCATTAAAAACAGCAAGGTGCCTGAACACCAAAGCTGAGATGTTTTTAATCACAGAATTGTAGTAATTATACAAATCCCAAGATTTTCATCAGACAGAAAAGGCTTCCAGGGCTAAACATACACTTTAAACTTAGCACTAATAACTGCATATTGTTCCAAGTTATAGGATAGAGAGTCTGCAGGCCAAGAGAAATATTGGAGAGAATGTTATGTGTTGAATCGTTAAGGAAAATTAAGAACAAACTATTTTGATAACATAATGGTATCTGTAAGAGTCACATGACCTGGTAATAGAAGAGGAACCCTCAGGTGTGGCCATGGTGCACAGCAGGTGACACTCGGATAAAGTCAGTGAGCCTGCCCCTGTTACTGCATTCCCAGCATATAGACAATGCTAGAAGGAACATCTCTTTCTTCTCCCAGGGGTCCTGAAGTTGCTGATTAACTGGAGTGCCTCTTCCAGTCAATAAATGGGACAGACCACCAGTAAAGGGGATGATTATTGGCCCAGGATCTGGGTTTCTGGGTCAGGTGAAGACTATGTACAGAATAATTTAGTTATAGTGGGGATTATTAAAAATGTCAAATTTTTAATAAACTGGCCAGGACACAGTACCCTCAAGGAGCTTGTTTCTAAGAGAAGTGATATAAAAAGATGCATCCAGGAAGGTTTTATAAAAATCTCCCTAAACAAGAAATTTTATTTGATCTATTTTTCCATTTATCATTACTTTTTCTGGCTCAAATTGGTAGGCGAGACGAGGAAAGAGGATTAAGGAAGGGAGAACACTGAGAGGGAGTGTGCTGTGGAGGTGTCTGTGCTGGGGGGAGGATGAGGAAGGGTGCCCAGGAGAATGGAGAAGGCGAGTCAGCTTGGCTCCTCATTCGTTACAGGGGGTTTGGGGTTGAGAGGCAGAGCATTATTTGAGTGAAAGGGCATGCGATCAGTCTGGGTGTTCCTGATGGGCAGCCGGGACACAGAATTCCTCCTAGAAGCTGGAGCAGAGACAGGCCTGGGATTGGAGTCCTGACAAGACAGGATTCTGGTCTCTGTTCTTCTCCCAACCCCAGCCCTTTCTATGGTGAACTCACCTGTCTGCAAGCAGAATTGGAGTTAGCTGGAACAACTGTCCCCTGATTCCTTCTGAATATGTTAGCATCCACATTTATTATTTGCATATTTGACCCTCCAGGTGCTTCCTCGCCTTCTTATCGGAAAGCTTGAAGACCATTTTGAGCCAGTGTGCAGCCCTGCCCTGTACTGTAGGCCTCACCTTTTGCTTCCACCAACGCTGGGCAGGCCCTGGCCAGAGAAGTCCCTGCCTGCCATTTCAATGTCATTGAAGTTTTGCTTTTTCCCTTTTAGTCATCAAAATAATGTGCCATTATGGAAAATTTACAAGATACAGAAAAATATAGAAAAGCAGAAAAATCACCCAGAGAGAATTCCACCTAGAGAGATTCACATTTTGCCATATTTCCTTCCAGTCGTTTTTCTGCATCCTTTGTTCTTTATATGCATTGCTCTGCAAATGCATATTTGTGTTCTGATTTACAAACATTTCACAATATTTAATCACCTGTCATAAGCATTTTCCGTAAACCTCAGGGGAGATCTGCTGAATATTGATTGCCGTAGTGAACGTAAGGTGTTATCATCTTGATTAAGTGTTTTGTCATTTGGTCTCTTCCCAGGCCCCCTCTTGTCTGCTGCATGTCTGGAAAGCTATGACGGGAATGAATGTGAAAACTTGGAAGTGTCACCTAACCCGTTGCTTCTGCCCTGAAGATCATCTTTTAGAAGTGGGAAGACTGCTCCACGTGGTGGTTGACTCCAAGGGACAGGAGGCATTGTAGAAAGAGATGGATGAAAGCAGCTCCAGGGGCTTCCGACGCATGCTCCCTGTGGTCTAGTCCAGGGCAGCCCTTCCGTGGGGCGCTGGCATCTGGGATGCCGCCAGTTCTGGACGCGGGGCTGACTCCGGAGTGAGGATGGTCCGCCGGGGGCTGCTGGCGTGGCTCTCTCGGGTGGGGGTGTTGCTCGTGCTCCTCTGCTGTGCCGTCTCCGTCCTCTACATGCTGGCCTGCACTCCAAAAGGTGACGAGGAGCGGCTGGGGCTGCCCCGGGCCAGCGGCCCCACAGGGAAGGGGGGGTCCCAGGCCGTCCTGCAGCACTGGGGGGAGCAGCACCGCAACTACATCAGCAGCCTCAAGAGGCAGCTGGCGCAGCTCGAGGAGGAGCTGCAGCAGCGGAGCGAGCAGCTCAGGCAGGCGCGGTATCACGCCAGCGAGGCCGCGGGCCTGGGCCCGGCCCCGGGGCCCCCCGAGAAGTCCCAGGCCGACCTGCTGGCCTTCCTGCGCTCGCAGGTGGACAAGGCGGAGGTGCACGCCGGCATCAAGCTGGCCACCGAGTACGCCGCGGTGCCTTTCGACAGTTTCACGCTGCACAAGGTGTACCAGCTGGAGACGGGCCTGACCCGCCACCCTGAGGAGAAACCCGTGAGGAAGGACAAGCGGGACGAGCTGGTGGAAACCATCGACTTGGCCTTGGAGACCCTGAACAGCCCTGCGGAGAGCAGCCCGAATCAGCGTCCTTATACGGCCTCGGATTTCATAGAAGGTCGGCAAGTGCGTGGACTGGGGTGGACGGGGCATCCGGTCCAGGCACCCAGGCGGCCACAGCTGCGGGAGGCTGGCAGTTGGCTCTGGGGATGGCTGGTAGAAAGCTTTCTGTGAGCCACGCCTCAGGTACATAGCATGGGTTTTTGTTTTTCAGAAACATCTGTTTCCTCTTAGTTTCTCGCGGAAACCACAGTCATTGAGTGGACAGGTTCATTGTTCCTTGGCAGAAGAAGGTGGAACTTGTTGCTTTCGTTTAAAAAAAATGAAGTAAAATAAAATATAAACAAAACTTTGAAACCCAAAGTAGAGTATGACAGGCAATTTTAATTTATCTGTTTTCACAGGCTCTTCTAGAGATTGGTTACCAGATCAGGAACAGGAGGATAATAGCAAACATGTACTATATGGCACTTCTATTTGCCAGCTGTTCTAGGAACTTTACAGTTATGAATTCACTCTCCTCATAATGACTCCGTTAGGGGATGAAGAAATGGAGATTTGAGTTAATTAAGTAAATTATCTCAGGTTGCTCAGTTACCAAGTGACAGAGCCAGGATTTGAATCTGGGAAGTCTGATTCCAGGGTCCAGGTCCTTAACCAGTAGGTTATCTTGTCCAGATTGTTAGAGCACGTGGAAACCAGTGAGATGAATGGCTCTGCTTTTTTCACGTGCACAGACAACCTAGTATGAATTTGTGTTTGATTGTGCCTAATTTCAGAAGAAAGCAACACTGTCTAGTTTCTTGGAAGACTCATTAGTATCTTATTATTAATTTCAAGTTTTCCCATTGTTACTGGTTCAAGCATCAACTAATAATTTGGGAGAAGAAGTGCCTTCAAGGCTCTGCAGCTCTTGCCTCTGTTTCTAGATGGAATCTCCTTCAGCTTCCCAGACGTGTGGCTGTGTACAGGTCGCCCAGTCCGTACTCAGGTTGTGTAACCACCCTCTCATCACCCTGCAGGCAAGACAGACCCTCTCTAGTCATCAAACTCTCCCACTGCTGTTTGTGCCTGTTCTCTTTGGATGCTTTCCTGTCTTATGATTTTTCCACTTTATATGTGAACCATAGATGCATGCAGTTTTGGTATAGTTATCATTTTTCATATACTTAGAGCCAGGTATAGAAATCTTTTACAAGGTCAAGTTTTTGGTGTCAGGATATTTTTTGCTCATTTATATGAGGTATTAAAAATGCCTAGCACATTGGGCAGCTAGCAAGTATAAGCACATGGTGAGCACTCAGTTTGAAATATCACGATGATGCGACATTGCACTTTATAGTGCTTTAGCGGTTAGGAAACGTTTCCACATCTATTATCTTACCCCCGGGAAAATCATTCAACATCCTTAAAACACAAATCCCGTTGCCACCTACCCTGGTGTGTGCTACAAGAGCTGCCCACATACAAAACACTTTGAAAAGAACTTGATTACAGTTCAATGCCTGCAATCTGGAATGTTTGCCCTTGTGATTTTTAATCTGCATTCGTATTTGAAATCTTTGTCTGCTTCTCTGTGTGCAGTATCTTAGTACATAGGCCTGTCGTCTCAATCAGCGTTGACACAGGCCTCTTGTCCCTGAGTTGATTGGCTCTGAGATACAGCTGACCTTCTCCTGGAGCCACGTTATCATAGCTGCCCAGTGCTGCTTTCACATGCAGCACACAGCCTGTGTTTTAAAGCAGATCAATCCACACGTACTTTCCAAATTTGGTGAAAGTCTAGTCAGCTGTTTTCATATGATGAATAAATAGACACAAACACTTTAAATATGTTCGTACATATTGACTGTTACAAGAAGCATAGTTCGTTTCATTTTTTCTTACTTATCACAAAAGGTTATGGAGGCAGTCCTTTCTTTTCTCAGGAAACGGGGCATTCTCAAAGATTCCACTAGTCAGAGGAGGCTGCAGGAAGGTGGAGTTAAAGTCAACATAAGGAGTAACTTTCTAATCAGGATGTTTCAGAACAAAGTGGGATTCCTGCCACTGTAAGAGTTCTGTCATCGACTGGATGGCCACTTGGGCAGGAGGTTATAATCCATGATTCCAGCATCAGAGAGGTGGTTGGACTGAATGACAGAGGACCTTTTCAGTCCTGGCTCACGATTCTTTGATCTACACCTAGTTGAGGAGAAAGAAGGGAATAGAAAGAGTCTGATTTGAAGTCTGTTTTCTATCATGAGAGCAAGTGATGGGACCTTATAAGGGTGAAATACATCTTTAAAATAACTTACCTGGGTTTCTAGACACAACCTTAGAGAGACTGATTTTGTGTTTGAGGTGTCAGTAGTCTGAAAGTTGGAGCAATTTAGTAGAAGTCTGTGGGGAAGTTTTAGGTTACAAGCGGGCAGTTCCACACTCTCAGAGAGTTCTAAACGAAGGTGACAGATTTGGTGAACCCTGAACTAGTATGAGAAAGATGGGGATTCTTTGTGTTTAAAGAAATAATAATAGGAGCTGGCCTGGTGGCACAGTGGTTAAGTTTGCTTGCACCACCTTGGTTGCCCGGGGTTCGCAGATTCGGATCCTGGGTACAGACCTACACGCTGCTCATCAAGCCATGCTGCGGTGGTGTCCCACATAGAAAATAGAAGAAGATGGGCACAGATGTTAGCTCAGGGACAATCTCCCTCAAGGAAAAAGAGGAGGATTGGCAGCAGATGTTAGCTCAGGGCCAATCTTACTCACCAAAGAAAGAGAAAAAAGAAAGAAATAATAATAAAAGCCTGTGGAATGCTTCCAGTTGATAATAGTTATGTAAAACTTAGAGCTGCCTGGGAGGCAGGTGGCATGAGGACACGAGCCTGCGGAGCTGTGTGAGCTCCTTGAGACTCGGTTTCCTCATCTGTCAACGAGAGACTTGACTTAGATGTGCTCCAGGGCCCTCCCCAGCCCCAGCCTTCTGCAAAATACAAAGTGCTGGTTCGACTTCTTTTCTTCTTAGCTTTGCCAAGAAACCGTCCCTGAGGGATGCTCTGCCACCCGCTCTGCTAGGTGACCCAGGACATGCCACTCACCCTTTAGGATCCTCCACTATAGAAGGAGGAATTCGATAGATTATTTATAAGGCTGGTCTGACTGTGGCCACTTTCTACACTTCTGTGAAGCGTGCAGAGGGCGAGTACCACATTGACGACTATCTAATTTATTATCTATGTTGATTTCCTTATCTGTCTGTCTCTAAAACACAGAGGGAACAACATTTGCCTCCTTTCTCTTTCCCCAGATGTTTCATTGGCACTGATTTTTGCGTTGGATTCTCACATAATAGCACGAACTTTTTTACAACCATCTGGGAAAAGAAGTTAAAGTAGAAAAACGTGATCAGATTCTGTGCCTTAGGATGCCTATCTCCTCAAGTAAACAGAAAATCTTTCTTCACATTTGTGATTTAGTTGTTTCTTCAGTATGGGATATACAGACTCCTGTCTGAGTGACACAACTTATGGCTTCGATTTCGTATTTTTAAATAGAGCTTTTGGGCATAAATTTGACATCATTCTGTAAAACAATTTAGCTTTCCGAATTATTCCTTTTTTCACTCCATACATCTGATGACGTGGATCCTGTGTGAGGCGCTTGTGTCTGCTGTCTCCAGGGGCTGCTCTCCAGCCTGGGCAGCTAACCCTCCTCCAGCTTTTGCCAGGTTAGAGGTGGCAAGAGTGGGTCAGATACTAAAAGGCTTGATTTTGGGGTGAGATGGAGCCACGCCATGATCCACAAGAAAGTGAAGATTTTAAGGGCACCTTAAGATACATTTTAAAACAAAGAGACACAGAAATAGCTCTAAAACATTAGTAGCTGCCTGCACAGCGAATCCCAGCCTCCCGCCTCTACAGCCAAGGCCTCGTGCTTTCTGGGAAGCTGAGGCAAGGGGTGAAGAGACTGAGTGTTTGACTACTGTTTTTGTCTCACCATAACCCCCAACAGACACCTGGTGACCACTTTGCTAAAGCGTTTTTAGACAAGTTCCAGGTCCTGGGTGCTCGGAGAGCAAGGTGCTTGGGACTATGAGGACAGGAAATGGGCTCTTTCCTCCGCATGCGTTTCAGTGATATGCTTCTTTGTTCACAACTTTGCGACTTGGGGTAGAAAAGGTAGGGCAGGCATTCAGGTGCATTTCTGGGCATTTGGGGGCATCTGGGGATCTTGGTGAAGAAATAAGGGAGAGCCGGGATTCTGCACAGTGGGGGCTCTCACTGGGGTTTGGGGTGTGGAGGGAAGAGAGAGTGGGGGAGACTTGCTGGCAGGCAGGACAGCGGAAGGATCAGGTCCTGAATTCGGCCTCAGTTCCCAGCCGGCCTCTGCAGGGAAGCAGGGGCATTGGGACTCAGGACAGCCCTTTGACGTCCCTCACTTCCCTGTGTGCTGAACCAACCCCATGGGTTCACTGGTAAATTCTGAGCAGGCCTGCGGGGTATTAGGTCCCTCTGTCACCTCACCCTGTCCCCTCTGTCCCACTACCTCGCTCAGATCTCCTCGTTTGCTGATGCTTTAAGTTCCTTTAAGGGGAGAGAAATGCCTTTTATTCTGAAATCGAGATGAGAGGTTTAAGTGCAAATAAATGGTTAGAGGCTACACTTTGTAGAGTGAATTCTTCCAGTGGTGATGGTGAGAAAGAAAGTAGCCCAGCCTGAGCTTCTGCCAGGGGGCAGGAATCCAACCCTTCATCAGGGCAAGCAAAAGAGCCCCGTGTTAGCGTAAATGTTCTGCGGTTGCAGAATATTTGGAAATTCTTAATAATTTTTGAAGAGGGGACCCCACATTTTCATTTTGCTCTGGGCTCTGCATGCTAGGCAGCCAGTCCTACCTCCAAGGTGATGAAGACAGGAGAGAAAGGTAAAGAAAGAGGAAGATGGAATTAGGAGATGAACTGTGTGGTCCTGACACCTTTGCTGAGGGTCAGCGCTGTTGACCTTCACTGGGCTGGGGCAGATGCAACCTGTGTTTGACATACATTCTATGTGTATGAAGTATTTTGTCACGAGACTGTAG